TCCAGTAGTCTCTTTAGGTTTCTTTATATACAGTATCACATCATCTGCACATATTAGTAGTGACTGTTTACTTCTTGCTTTCCAATTTGATTGCTTTTATTTCTTCTTATTATCTGAATGCTGTGGCTAGGATTTCCTGTACTATGTTGAGTAAGAGTGGTGACAGTGAACATCCCTGACTTGTTCCTGATTTTAAGGTAAACACTTTTAGTTTTTGCCCACTAAGTATGATGTTGGCGGTGGGTTTGTCAAAATTGGTCTTCACATTGAGGTATGTTCCCTCTATTCCCATTTTGCTGAGGGTTTTTAAAAATCATAAATGGGTGTTGGATTATATCAAATGTTTTTTTCTGCACCTATTGATATGATTATGACTTTTACCCCTTATTTTGCTTATGTGGTATGTCACATTTATTGATTTGTGGATATTATACCAGCCTTAGACCCTCCAGAATATATCCTAGTTGATCATAGTGTATGATATTTTTAATGTATTGCTTTATCTGGTGTGCTAAGATTTTTTGAGGGTTTTAGCATTATTTTTATCAGGGATATTGGTCTATAATGTTTGTTTCTTGTAGTATCTTTGTCTGGTTTTGAAATTAGGATAATGCTGGTCTCATAAAATAAGGTTGGGAGTCTTCCCTCTTCTTGAATTTTTTGGAATAGTTTGAGGATAGGTGTTAGTTTTTTGAATGTTTGGTAAAATTCACCTCCGCGTCTATAGGGCCTCTCTAGTTAGAGTTTAGGCTTTCTTTTGGATATTCTGGGTCTCTCTGACTCAGCTGCAGTTTGCTGGATAAGTTTAGATTTCAAAGAACCAGGCCATTCATAGGCAAAAAACTCTGCACACAGCTTGGACAGGGTGGAGTCTCAGGGTGGAGCAAACAACAATGGCTTCCCATCAGCCCTGCCCTAAGAGGCCCCGGGTCTTCTCAGTATCCCACGATAATTGCTGCAAGCACCTCTGAGAGAAAGCTGCCCTCGAGTGCCACCCAATGCCAGACAGTCCAGTTTCTCCCCCTATGAGTCTGGGTCCCCAGAGTGTCGCCTGGAACTGGAGTTCATAGCAGGAAGCTTGTGTCTCCCTCCGGCTTGAAAAAGCCAGCTGTGAACTAAGTTGCCAGCCCTCTCCATGCATGCCACCTCTGTACCTCTGCCTTCCGCATCTCCTCTGAGTCTCAATGTGCTTTTCTCTTTCCTTCTAGTTGTAGAATTTCCACTCAGCCAGTCTTCCTGTATATATGAAATGTCTATATATATTATGTATAAAATATATATATTTATAATATATATAAAATCCTATATAATAAAGGTGTAACATGCCAATTAACTGAACAGTGGAATGACTGGTTGCTGTGACATGCACTGATCACCAGGGGCAGATGCTCGACACAGGAGCTGCCCCCTGGTGGTCAGTGTGCTCCCACAGGGGAGCTCTGCTCAGTTAGAAGCTGGGATCACACACAGCTGGTGAGAACAGTGTCTTGGGGGAAGGGGGAGCCTCTTCTGCCTCCACTGCAGGTGGGCCTTAAGGAGCGAGGGGTCCCAGACTGCAAGGAGAGCCCCAAACTGGAAGAGGGATGTTTGACTGCCACTTAGACAATGCAATCTATGGCATTTCTATACACCAATAGTGAACTTACAGAAAGAGAGGTTAAAAAAGCAATCCCATTTACCATGGCACCAAAAAATTAAGATACCTAGGAATAAACTTAACTAAGGAGATAAAAAGACCTATATTCAGAAAACTACAGGACACTGAAAAAGATATAGAAGAAGACATAAACAGAGGAAAGAACATACCATATTCATGGATTGATAGAATCAACATTATAAAAATGTCCATACTACCCAAAGCAATCTATAGATTCAATGCACTCCCCATTAAAATACCAACAGCATATTTCACAGACCTAGAAAGAACTCTCCAAAAATTCATCTGCATTAAAAAAAGACCCAGAATAGCCACAGCAATCATGAGAAAGAAGAACAAAGTAGGTGGGATCTCAGTACCAGATTTCAAGCTGTATTACATGGCCACTGTTCTCAAAATAGACTGGTACTGGCACAAGAACAGACATATAGAACAATGAAATAGAATAGAGAACCCAGAAATTGACTCAAATCACTATGCTCAATTAATATTTGACAAAGGAGGCATGACCATACAATGAAGTCAAGACAGTCTTTTCAACAAATGGTGTTGGGAAAATTGTACAGATACATGCAAAAACAAACAAAACAAAACAAAAACCCCTAGATCATCAACTTACACCATACACAAAAATAAACTCAAAATGGATACAGAACTTAAACATAAGATGGGAAACCATAAAAATACTAGAGGGATCCACAGGCAGAGAAATCTCAGACATATGCTGAAGCAATTTATTCACTGATACCCCTCTTAGGGCAATGGAAGCTAAAGAGAAAATAAAGAAATGGGACTACATCAAAATAAAAAGTTTTTGCACAGCAAAAGAAGCCATCAACAAAAAAAAAACAAGAAAGCCCACTATATAGGAGAACATATTTGCAAAAGTTATCACTGATAAAGTTTTAATCTCCAACATCTATAGGGAACTTCTACAACTTAATAAAAGGAATGATCCAATAGAAAAATGGGCAATGGACCTAAATAGAATCTTTTCGAAAGAAGACAGAAGGAAGGCCAAGAGACACATGAAAATATGCTCAATGTCACTAATTATCTGAGAGATGCAAATCAAAACACACCTGTCAGAATGTCAATTATCAGCAAATCAGACAAGTGCTGGCGAGGATGCGAAGAAAAAGAACCCAAAAGGAACCCAAAAGGAACCCTTGTGCACTGCTGGTGGGAATGCAGATTGGGGCAGCCACTGTAGAGAACAGTATGGAGTTTCCTTAAAAAACTAAAAATGGAATTCCCATTTGACCCAGGAATCCCAAGAAATTAGAAACACCAATAAGAAAGGATATATGCATCCATATGTTCATAGCAGCACAATTTACAATAGCTATGATTTGGAAACAGCCTAAATGCCCATCAGCAGATGAGCGGATTAGAAAACTATGCTACATCTACACAATGGAATACTACGCTGCTATAAAAAAGAAGGAATTCTTACTGTTTGCAGCAGCATAGATGGACCCGGAGAGCATTATGTTGAGTAAAATAAGCCAGTCAATGAAAGAAAAATACCACATGATCCCACTCATTCATGGAAAATAAAGAACATTATAACCTGATGAATATAAAGATAGATACAGAGGTAGTAAAGCACCAAACACACTGTCAAATTACAGCGGGAAGGCTGGGGAGTGTTGGGGAGGAAGGGTAAGAGATCAATCAACAGACTTGTATGCATAAATGGACACAAGACACTGGGGGGTGGGGTGAGATGAGGTCATGAGATAGAGGGTGGGGGAGATGGGGGAAGGTCAATGGGGAGGAAAAGAGATATATGTAATACTACCCAATACTTTAAACAATTAAAAAAAAACCACAGAAAAAAACTCACATCAATGATGAGAGAGAATCATTGATCAGCTGCCTCCTGCCCATCCCCTGCTGGGAAATGAACCTGAAACCTGGGCATGTGACTTGACGAGGAATCAAATGCTGACTTCCTGGTTCCTGGGTTGATGCTCAACCACTGAGCAACACCAGCCGGGCAGTATCATAATTCTTCGTGTGTTGAATCAATATGACTCAGTATTTCGGAAGTGTTTGTTTTGCATGTTTGTGTGTGAATTTGCTGCCCCTTTGGATGTTACTGATTATATCTATGTGTTTGTGTTCCTTTTTATGTCTGCATTCTGTTTCCAAGTATGTCTGTACTGGTGAGTGTGTGTGTGTGTGTGTGTGTGTGTGTGTGTGTGTGTTCTCAAGGTGTTGTTGCCCATGTTTACAATGTGAGTCTTTGTGAGCCTAACCATGATCCCTGCACCTGAGTGCCCACGTGAGCCTTGGGGTGTCTGTGCCTGCCTGTCTCTGTCTTGTGGTGTCTGTACATTTCCCTGTGAGTTTGTGTGTCTGTTCCCCTGGCAAATGGCTTTAGAGGCAATCTCCCTAAGAGTGACTCCCTGTGGTGAGGGAGAAGGAGACAATATGTGCTTTATCCCCACCCCGAGGCTGAGCCTCTTCTGCCCCTGCTCCTCCTAGCCTGTGATGAACCCCTGTGGGTCCCATTCCAAGGGTGGATGAAGTGAAGGGTCAGTTCATAGAACCCCATGCCCAGGTTGTGGGGGGAGGGGGAGGCAGGCGGGGAAGACTCTTGGCAGAAAGAACTTAAAGAGTGTGGAGGGAGAGTTTTTAGGGAGGACTCTGGGCTCTGGGAGAAGGGCTGGAAGATCCTAGATCTCTGGGAAGGAATGAGTGGGTGGGTGCACATGAGGGAAAGCTGAGGGGTAAGACTCCAAGGCCCCTGGCTCCTCCTAGGAATGAGGGGCTGGGCACCCCTGGAGAAGGCTGGGAGAGTCCTATGGAACTCTGGTTCCTGGAGAGCAGGTCACTCACTCGCCCACACTGGCCTCGGCTGGGACCTCGCTGAGGAAAGTGCCTGGCTGCTCGGAGCATCACTCCCAGAACTGGGTCCTGAACATCTACTGACCGTGCAGGGCCACATGGGAACACTGGGGAGTGTGCGGCAGACAACAGGAGGGAGAGCCAGGCCCTGTGCTCTCTCTAAAGGGAGAGGGGAGGGCAAGGAGGGACCGCATTTACCACAGGTTCATGTTCATGATGAATGCACAACACAGGATCACCCTTGATGTCAATGTCAGTGCTTTATTATCTTCAGCCCCAATTTGAGTGCCCGCCTGGGCAATCCAAAGGAACAAAAGCCTTGGAGGCAGAGTAGTGACTGATGTTAACTTAAAACAACTGAAATGAGGGAATGCTGGCCGTCCTGGGTCCTTCCCAATCAGCACCACCACCCCCACTTGCCCCAGCCATGTGGGGGCACAGGGAGCCAGGTGTGTGCCCAAGGTCACACTCAGAAGGGATGCTGAATTTACTGTGCTTGCATCTGACCAAACTCCTTTTCCCGAAGTTCACTCCGTTTGATCTTGCCAGTGACGGTTTTGGGCAGCTCAGGGACAAACTCTACCTGGGTGAGGAGAAAAGGATCCATTGTGAGTCCTGCTGTCACTTCCTACCCGTCCCAACTCCTCTCTTCACCCAGCATGTCCCCCAAACAGGCTGCAGCAGGTGGTGGCCTCAGTGGTGAGGGCCAAGTACGTCAGGTCCTCCTCCTGCCCCCCTGAAGCTGCTGCAGCCTGTGACGTGCTCTGATCAATGAAATGTGGTGCAGTGAAGCATGCCCCCTCTCACAGGAGAGTGGGAGCCTCTGAGCCTGGCCACCCTCTCTGTCCATCGCTGACAGCACCTTTCTTATAATAAGCCATGCGGCAATCGGGTGTTTCTTACCATAACATTTAGCCAAGAGGTATCCAACATGGAGCCCCACAGGGTTCAATTTGATTTTTAAGGGGAGCAATTTGAGAATGAATTATCAACAGTGAATTTTTCCCATTTCTTAAGGTTCTAGGGGCCTGATATACAGTATCCTATCTAATAAAGAGGGAAAATGCTAATTGATCCTCACATCGTCACAACGATGGCGGCACTCAGAGCCAATAAGGAGGGCATATGCTAATTGACTGCCCCTCCCTCAAAGATGGTGGCACCCAAAGCCAATAAGGGGGGAATATGCTAATTGACTGCCATGCTCTCAAAGATTCTGGAGCCCACTGTCAAACGATGGTGGCGCCCAGCCCCCTCATTCCCCGCCGCCTGGGGCCAGCCCAACGTACAGACTAGTGCTGAATGGTGGCTACCCAGGCACCCAGGGCCACCCGAAGCTAAGGTAACCAGGGCTGGCAGAGGGAGGGTGAACTGGACTGGAGCTGTGAGAGCAGAAACCAGAATGGGAACAATCCCATTTACAATTGAACCAAAAAAAAAAAAAAAATTAGATACCAGGAATAAACTTAACTAAGGATGTAAAAGGCCTATACTCTGAAAATGATAGGGCATTGAAAGATTCAATAGATAGAGAAAGACATAAAAAAGTGGGAAAATATACCATGTTCATGCGTTGGTAGAATCAACATCATTAAAATGTCCATACTACCCAAAGCAATCTATAGATTCAATGCAATCCCCATTAAGATACCAATGGAATATTTCACAGGCCTTGAACAAACTCTCCAAAAATTCATATGGGATTAAAAAAAAGAAAAAGACCCTGAATAGCCTCAGCAATCCTGAAGAAGAACAAAGTTGGAAAGATGATAATACCAAATATCAATTTATATTACAAAGCCACTGTTTTTAAAACTGCCTGGTACTGGCACATGAACAGACATATAGTCCAATGGAACTAAACAGAGAACCCAGAAATCAACCAAAACTGTAATGCTCAATTTGTATTTGACAACGGAAAGAAGAGCATACAATGGAATCAAGACAGTCTATCCAATAAATGGTATTGGGATAATTAGAACAATTCATGCAAAAAAATGAAACTAGACCAACAACTTACACCATACACAGAAATAAACTCAAAATTGATAAAGGACTTAAATACAAGATGGAAAATCATAAAAATCTTAGAAGAATCCATAGACAGCAAAATATCAGACCTCTGCTATAGCAATACAGCTCCTAGGTCAATGGAACTAAGAAGAAAATAAACAAATAGGACTATATCAAAATAAATAGCTTTGCACAGCAAAGGAAACCATAAACAAAACAACAAGAAAGCCCACTGCATTGGAGACACATTTGCCAATTGCTCTCTCAGATAAGGGTTTAATCTCCAACATTTATAGGGAACTCATACAACTTAACAAAAGGAAGGTAAGTAATCCAATCAAAAAGTGGGCAAAGGACCTAAAAAGACAATTTCAAAAGAGCATATACAGAAGGCCAAGAGACATATGAAAACATTCTCAAAGTCACTAATCATCCAAGAGATGCAAATTAAAATGACAATGAGGTACCATCTCACACCTATCAGAATGGCTATCGTTAACAAATCAACAAATTACAAGTGCTGGGAGGATGCGGAGAAAATGGAACCATCCCTCACTGATGGGAATGATGACTGGTGCAACCACTGTGGAAAACAGCGTGAAGTTTCCTCCAAAACTTAAAAATGGAATTCCCATTTGACCCAATAATTCCACTTCTTGGATATATATCCCAGGAAATCAGAAATACCAATCAGAAAGGATGTATGAACCCTTATGTTCATAGCAGCATAGTTTATAATAGCTAAGATTTAGAAACAGCATATGTGCTCATTAGAAGATGAATGGATTAAAAAACAGTGGTATATCTACACAATGGAATACTATGCTGCTGTAAAAAAGAATGAACTCTTACCATTTGCAATAGCATGGATGGACCTGGAGAGTATTATGATAAGTGAAATAATCCAGTCAGAGAAAGAGAAATATCACATGATGTCACTCACTTGTGGGATATAATGAATAACAAAGACTGATAAAAATAAAGCCAGAGAAAAGAATATTTAGAATATAATAGAAATAATCCTGTTATTTGCAGATTTTTAATATTTCCTACAACCTTTGTGATATTATATTATATTAGTACAGTTTTGGTAATATTATTATATTTAAAATATTTTGCTCTTGAAATATTAATGTTTATTCCATGTAATATATTTAGTTATCTTTCCTCAAGTATTTTTTATTGCATGTAACATTATATTTAAAATTGTTTTTCTTAAAATATTAATCATTTGTATTTAAAAAAGAATGAACTACATGTTTTAAGGATATATATAAATTTGTTAACACATGTTTGTTGTATACATAAATATGTATTGAGTGGCAGGATCAAATGTATTTCTTGGTATGAATCATGCTTAAGAATAGTTAGAAAGCAGCTGACTTAAATGTCTTTTTCAATTTTTAAAAATGTTAAATAGCTTTCTTGCATAGCTTTGGGCACTGGTCTGATTTTGTTGCCCTCAGGGTAATGTGAAGCACATTTTGGCTTTCTGACTCAGAACAGAGGTACCATCCCATTCAGTTGGCTGCATCCACCCCTAAGCCGAATTGCTTCTTATGCAGAGAAAAATGCTCCTTCTATGTTCGGTTTCAGCATCTCCCGGCCACCTGACCAGATTTGGGGCAGCGGAGCTCAGAAGGGCACAAGCCTGGGCCCCACTCACCTTCCTCGGGTACTTGTACGGGGCGGTCACTGACTTCACATGCTCCTGCAGCTCCTTGATGAGCTGGTCTGGGTCATGGGACAGAAACTCTGGGGTCAGGACAACAAAGGCCTTCACCACCTGCAATGCAGAACCAGAGCGGGGGCTCAGGGACAGTGCAACTAGTGGCCGGGTTTAAAAAGTAAGTGTTTATGCAATGCATGGCAAAACAAGCTGACACCGAGCCTTTGGAAATGGCTCAAATCCAAATACTTCAATTTCTACCCCTTCCCTTGTAAAATCACTTAACCTCAGATTCCTTCTCTGTGACATGCACAGAGTACAGGCCCATCCCATGGAGCTGAATATGGTGGCCTTATGTTCAGATTCCATGAGCTAGTACACATAACACATGCATCTAGTTTAACTGTATTATTATTTCCAGCATAATTATTTTCATCACCATTTTTACCATGAATGTATGTACAGTTCTGTGCCTGGAAACTGTGGGCATTTAATAATTATTGGTAATTTACTGAACTTATTGTTTTTAATTTTTAAGTTTCTTTTTAAAAAAAAAATACATGTTTTTTTTGTTTATTTTTTAATTTCAGAGAGGAAAGGAGGGGGAGAGAGAGAAATATCAATAATGAGACAGAATCTTCACTCTGCTACCTCCTGCAGGACCCCTACTGGGGATCTAGCCCGCAACCTGGCATGTGCCCTGACTGGGAATCAACCGTGGCTCTTGAGTCAAGACTCAACCAATGAGTCAGATTGGCTGGGCTGAACTTACTGCTTTTATTTTATTTATTTATTTATTTATTTATTTATTTATTTATTTATTTATTTTAATATATTTTTTATTGACTTTTTACAGTGAGGAAGAGAGAGGGATATAGAGTTAGAAATATTGATGAGAGAATCATCAATCAGCTGCCTCCTGCACACCCCCTACTGGGGATGTGCCCGCAACCAAGGTACATGCCCTTGACCGGAATCGAACCCGGGACCTTTCATCCCCAGGCCGACGCTCTATCCACTGAGCCAAACCGGTTTCGGCATGAACTTACTGCTTTTATATTGTTACTAGACACCTGGTCCACGAAATTCATGCACTTGGGGAGGGGGGCGGGGTATTTCTTAGCCTGGCCTGCTCCCTTTGGCAGTCCAGAGCCCTTGGGGAATATCAGATTACCAGCTTAGGCCCACTCCCCTCAGAGGTGAGAGAGGCTCCTGCCACTGCCACTGCACTCACCTGCCTTGAACCCAGGACTGATCAACAGAGGGAAGCTCCAACATTGAATGTCTGCCCTCTAGTGGTCAGTGAGATCCTGGCTACTGATTGTCCTACCATTCAGTTGATTTGCATATTAGCCTTTTATTATATAGGGTTTACGTCCTCATTGAATTGCACAGGCCTTATACCTAGTAGGTGCTCAATAAATCCAGTGAATGCATTGGAAATAGAGTGCTCAGATTTCCATTCTGGCTCCTCCACAGTGTAATCGGGGCAAGTTACTTAACTTCTTTATGCTGCCTCTCTGTCTATTAAAAGGGTATAATAAGTAAGAGTCTCTAACTCCTTAGGTTGTTGTGAGGGTTAAATGAGCCAGCACACCAGTATTTAATCAGGATTGTCACAGATGATGCCACAGTGCCTCCTGCTGCCCACATAGTGTAAGTACACTGTGCATACCCACTGCTCTGGAAGTTTCCCCTGCACCAGCCTTCCAGTGCCCACATGCAGACCCCATGACCTCCTGTCCTTCTCCTCACCTGCCCTCGGGTCGGGTCCGGGCTGCTCACCACAGCTGACTCAGCCACCGCTGGATGCTCTGCCAGGGCGTTCTCCACCTCTGCCGGCCCAATGCGGTACCTGTGGGACCAATGGTTCCTGCTCTGCTTCTGAGCAGATGCCAGGGCTGGAGTGACCCAGGCCCTCCAATCTCATGTTTGGGAGTCAGACTTCCCTGGGCACAGAGGGCAACGTTCACAGGAGCTAGAGGACTGTGAGAAGGCTCTGTAGGGACCAGGATGTGAAGACCTGGGCATTGCAAACTCAGATGCTCCCAGGGCCTCCCTCACTGCCTCTGGTGGGCGGTGGGGGTGGGAGGCTGTCCTCCTGAGGCTGAGCGTGTGGCACAGGAACTGCCCAGCAGGACTCTTACTGCACACTTGGGAGCCTCAAACTTTGTCTTAAAGATTTAGGGAAATTCTGTCTCACTACATCAGCATCCAATGTAGAAATTTAGAAAGAAAAACAAACCTAATTTCCCTGATGCATCCAAGGGAAGTTGTTACTTATGTCACTTTTACACCATACATCATCTAAGCAGTAGGGACAACAGATTGAGAGCACACTACCTCGGTTCAAATCTGGGCCTCTCCCTGCACTATCTTGGAGACTTTCAGCAACTTAGTTCACTGGTCAGTGACTCAGTGTTCTCATCTGTAAGTTAGGCACACTAATGGCATCTACTGGGTGAACAAAGCACAGAGCAGTGTACTTTCACACAGTAAGTTCTCCATGAGCTTAGCTGGTATCGCTGCTGTTGTTCTGTGACATGTGTCCCATTGGAGGAACACAGAGAATAATTTCCCCCAACCAATTAGCAATGGTCTCCTTTGCTAATCCTATATCCCCTCTTTAAATTGTATGATGTTTACTGTGGTTGCATTTCCAGGCCTTGAATTTTATTTTGATGTTGGAAGAGATGCACAGATACCCCAGGCCAAGGCCCTGTAGAAATGGCTGCATTCAGGAACAGATTGCAGGTCCCATCCCCAATTCTTGGAGAAATGTTGCAGCAGGCTAGAGCCTGCCAGGCCCAGGTCAGCCACACCTACCCAGAGGCTTTGATGATGTCATCGTCCCTCCCCAGGAACCAGATGTAGCCCTCTTCGTCAATAGTTGCTTTGTCCCCAGTGTTGTAAAAGTCCCCACACTCCACTTTGGCTGTCTTCACTGGGTCATTCTGCAGAGAGAAGGGCACTCTTATTGAAGGCAGTGAGATTAGAGATGCTGAGCTGGAACCTGGGACTCAGATCTGGGTTTGAGCCCTGCTTCTCACTCCACTGGGCACTTCTGCAACTTTTGTAATCTCTCTGAGTCTATTTGCTTTACATGCAAACACTCAATGCATGCTACCTGTCAATTAATGTACAAAATACACTGACAATTGATATTAATGTAACACAGTGGCTGAACCGATGGAAGGTGATAATAAGCTTTTCTAAATGAATTTTCTTCCCTAAGTACCATCTCATCTCATTCTCAAAGGAAGCTTGTGGCCTTGGCAAGTGTGGCCCATTTGCTTGAGTGTCATTCCATGTACCAAAAGGTGGCCAGTTCACTTCCTGGTCAGGGCACATGCCCAGGTTGTTGGCTCAATCCCTAGTAGGGGGCGTGCAGAAGCCACCTGGTCAATTTTTGACGAAATAATGGCCGAAAATTTCTCTAGCCTGGTGGAGGAAAAAGTAATACAAGTTTAGAAGGTACAGATATCTCCAAGCAAGAAGAACAAAAACAGGCCCATGCCACAATACATCATCATTAAAATGCCAAAAATTAAAGACTAAGAGAGAGTCTTAAAGGCAACAAGAGGAAAGCTGTTGCCTACAAAGGAGTTCTCATAAGGCTGACACCTGATTTCTCATTAGAAACTCTATAGACCAGAAGGGAATGGCATGAAGTACTCAAAGTAATGGAAAGCAAGGATCTAAAACCAACTGTCAGCAATATATCAATCAAGGCTATCATTCAAAATAGACAGTCAAATAAAGAGCTTCCAGGACAAGAAAAAAAGGCCAAAGGAGTACATCACCACCAAGCCAGCATTACAAGAAATGCTATAGGCCCTGCAACAATGAGAAGGAGAAACAGAGAGAGAAACATACATATACAGAATTAAAATGGCAATAAATAAGTACCTATCAATAATAACCCTAATGTAAATGAAATACATGGTCCAATCAAAAGGCATAGGATCGCTGAATGGATATAAAAACACCAGCCAACTATATGCTGTCTATAAGAGACCCACCTCAGAACAAAAGACATACACAGGATGAGAGTGAAGGAATGGAAAAAACAGTTTCCATGCAAATGGAAAGGAAGAAAAAAGCTGGACTAGCAATACTCATATCTGACAAAATAGACTTCAAAATGAAGGCCATCACAAAAGACAACAAAGATCACTTTAGTACATAACACAAAAGGGATGGATTCTATAAGAAGATAGAACCTTGGTAAATACATATATACCCAAAATAGAAGCACCAAAATATATTTTAAAAACTGCTAGACTTTAACAGCTAGAGGAGAGATTGACAACAGTCATAGCAGGGGACTTTACCACCCTGTGGCTTCACTGGATAGATCTTCCAGACAAAAACATGACCAAGAAACAGTGACTCTGAAGGACACACTGGATCAGATGGATATAATTGACATTTATAGAACATTTCACCCCAAAGCAGCAGAATATAGTACATTTTTCTCAAGTGCACGTAGATCATTCACAACGATAGACCACACGTTAGGACACAAAACAAGTCTCTACAAGTTCAAGAAGATCAAAACCATATCAGGCAACTTTTCATATAACAGTGGAATGCAATTATAAATCAACTACAGTAAAAAAAAAACACAAATAAACAAACAAAAAACACCCCGAAACATTCAAACACATGGAGGCTGAGTAGCATGTTATTAAACAAAGAATGGGTTTCCGATGACATCAAGAAATAAATAAATAGCCGGGACTGGTTTGGCTCAATGGATAGAGCGTCGGCTTGGGGACTGAAGGGTCCTGAGTTCGATTCCGGTCAAGGGCATGTACCTTGGTTGCGGGCACATCTCCAGTAGGGGGTGTGCAAGAGGCAGCTGATCGATGACTCTCTCTCATCGATGTTTCTAACTCTCTATCTCCCTTCTTCTCTGTACAAAATCAATAAAATATATTAAAAAAAATAAATAAATAAATAAATAAATAAAAACCTTCCTGTAAACAAATGAAAATGAACACACAATAACGCAAAATCTCTGGGACACAGCAAAAGCAGTCCTCAGAGGGAAGTTCATAGCATGACAGGCATACCTCAAAAGAAGAAAAATTGAAGGATCCTAGGTGGCTCCTGACAGGACTGCATGCTACTAGATGGTGTGAGAGTGAGAGAAGGAAAGGAGAGTGCGTGGGTGTGCGGGGAGTGTCAGTATTTGTGAGTGAGGGACAGCTATAGTCCAAGGGACTGGCAGGGACTGCAGGATCAGCCCGCATCCCTCAACCCCCGTGGCCGGGCAGCCTCTACTGAGGCTGAACTCTCGCCCAGAGCAGCAGGCTCTGCAGCAGAGGCCAGGCCACTCTGAAGGGGAGATGGCTGAGGTCAGAGACTGATTGTGGTCAGAACCCCAGCCTTATCTACAACCAGGGAGATCTCCGATGCCTCCCAGGACCGTACAACCACAATGCCCAAGGACCAGTTATCTCATCTGCCAATCCATGAACGCCAGAACTCCAACCTCGCCTACCCTGGGTGCCTGGGAGGTCTGCACAGCGGGAGACAAACATGCGAATTCCAGATGGGCCCTGCTCCTTTTCACAGAGCAGTAGGAACAGCTGGATCAAAGAGCACCCAACAGGAGCTGCCCAATGAAACGCAGCTGGCATTGCCCGAAGAAAGGTGAGATTTGGGATCCAGGCTAGACCGAGAAGCCGTGCAGTGGGAACTAGAGCCTCAGAGAAAGACTGTCTCCCACGAAATTGGCTGCTTTTGGGATCAGTGTAGCCCTCAAATGTGGAAGGGGGTCCACAGGGCGCCTGGCAGAAAGGGACTCTAGATAGTAACCCACAGCCAGACTGGACCCAGAAAAGCAGCCTCAGAGCCGGGCACGGAGTTGGGCACAGAGTTGTGCACAGAATCGAGTACAGCTGCCTTTTAGCCCAGGATATTAAGACAGAAACACTGCCACCAACGGGCTGTAGCAGGAATGGACTCTTGTGTGTAAAACAACTAAAAACAGACTGAGAACCAGAGAGCAGAGAGATCCCACCTGCTTGAAAATAGGGCTGTGGGTTAGGGCCCCAAAGAACTTCAATCCTGTGCTGACTACCTGCAAGGATAAAAGACGTGCCAAGCAAAAACAGTGAAGGAAGTGAACGACCTCCACTAATTCACATGTTTATTTTTTTATTTTTTATTTTTATTTATTTATTTTTAAAATATATATTTTATTGATTTTGTACAGAGAGGAAGGGAGAGAGATAGAGAGTTAGAAACATCGATGAGAGAGAGTCATCAATCAACTGCCTCTTGCACACCCCCTACTGGGGGATATGCCCGCAACCAAGGCACATGCCCTTGACCGGAATCGAACCTGGGACCTTTCAGTCCCCAAGCCGACGCTCTATCCATTGAGCCAAACCGGTCCCGGCCACATGTTTATTTTTTATCTTTTACTTTAGAAACCATTTTTTTTCTCTCACTTGGTTTTACCTTATTTTTATTATATTTTTATTTTAAACTATTAGTATTAATACTATTATTGAACCCTTTTTTAAAGTTTTATTTTATGTAATTTTTTCCTTTATTTTATTTTGGGATCGATGTTATACATTCTATTTTGATTTCCCCTTTAGGATTATTTTACTCTCTCTCAATTTTTTCTTTATGCCAACACTATCACTCGTCCCCTTTTTTTGTCCAGTTTCTCTTACCCTGTTCCTGCTTTAGTTTTTCTCTGCCCTTTCTTTTTACTCCCTGTTAAAAATTGATCTTACTCCTCATCTAATTTCCTCTCCTCTGCTCCAAACCCATACACATCTCTCTCTTTGCTTTCTTCACTATCTAAATTCTTTTTCCTTTTTTGCATTTTTC